GAGCCCGAGGGCGCCCGGCCGCGTCCCCAGCGGAGGGAGGGTGGGGTGCGTGGCGCGCGGGGCGACCGCCGGTTAAGGCCGTGCAGTGCTGCGATTTCCAGTTTAAAGAAACACTTCCAGACAACCCTGACAGTCTCCAGGGCATTAAGGATCCTGCGCCTTAAAACATTCCTCCCGTCGACCTGCACCTCTCGCTCTTACTACAATGAGGTGTTTGGCTTTGTTTTCTGCGGTATGGGGCATGCAGCCCAGGTCCTTCACATGGAGCTACGTCCCCAGGCTATTTTTAAAGTTGAAAAGGAGGGGCAGTTTAATTTGGCTCACGCCGTTTGTTATTTTGAGAAAGTTCTAAGTCGCTAAATAGACTGGGCAAGGCTAGAGCTGGTGAGTCTCCTGCCTCAGCCTCCCGATTGCTGGGGTTACAGCTATGCACCACCTGGCCCAGCTTGTTTTGTTTTGAAGAAGCCTTGCCACAGTCCGGGCCGGCCGTGGCTCCCAGGACTCTTGCAAGGCAGCGTGGCCCCTTCACACAGACGTCAGGGGGCAGTGACCTCTGCAGGCCCTCAGCACAACCCAAGCGACCGCGGAAGGCCTACACAAACAGCTCGCTCCCAGCCAGCGAAAGCAAAGCTTTCGTGGCTGCACCAGGTGTCCCCAGGAAGCAAAGAACAGGGCACACTGTCCGTGGCGGGCTGGAAGGAATGAAGTAGTAACCGGCTTTCCCCTCCCTCATGCGTCTACACTATGTCATTTTTCTTTGGCATCAGTGGGAAATTTCTTATAGGTGCACGAAAAGCAAAATCTAGTATTTGCTCCTCCAAACTCCTATGTCACAATACAACCACAATTGTTTTTCAAAGTAGGTGCACCAGCTGTGGCGACACACATCTGTATTTCCAGCACTGGGGAGGCTGAGGCAGGAGGATTGCTGTGAGTTCATCTGAGGCCAGCCTGGGCTACACAGTGAGTTCACAGCCAGCCTAAACTACTACAGCAAGACCTTGTCTCAAAAGTAAATAAATAACGTAGGGGCAATTCAGGAAGAAACCTGCTTTCCACCAACACAGTGCATTACGGTTACCTGTGCATGTACACAGTGTAGCATGCTGCTCCATTATAGATTTTGAGATTCTCAAAGACAAAAACTTGGTTTCAAATCCTTAAACACAGCTGCCAAAACGCACTTATGGCACGGATGCACTTGAGTGTGCACTGACCCTATAAATGAATCTGCATTTGCAACTCGGGTCCAGTACTTACTGCAACAGGTCAGCAAAGACTAATTTCGCCAAAGTCATAGGTCCTACATCTTGCAATTAAAGTTAAGTGCAACCCCTCTGAGATGAAGGAACCTAAAGCCCAGACACAGGGTCATGGAAGGGCCGCATTCTCCCTAATACTAATTAGTTAGAAACTAATATTTAAACCTGTTTTAAATCTCTGGTGAAAACAGAGTTAAGAATTCCAAGCTCCACACCAAAACGTTTGCTTTTCCGGTGGGCCATATTCTCAGGAACTTATGATATTCATTTTAAGTATAACAATAAAAGCAATTGATAAAAGAGCTCCAAAACATACAGACCCTCCCACCCTTCTCTCCTGGCTCTGGGAAGAAAACAGGCTGATACCAATTTGCTCCCTACAGAGCCTTTCATCTAAGAATTCCAAAATGCCTTAGAAAATGTATCCATTCTCACAAACTACTTCACAAGTACCACCAAGAGCATCTGTGGGGCTTCTCCGAAGGTAACAGGCCACTCGGCCTGCCCAGAATAACAGCACTGAAACAAACACCACATCCTTGAACTGTGACCTCCAGCCCCGAGTTCATCCCACACTAGACCCCCGTTCCCAGAAACCCAGGGCCACTGAGGCGCTCACCTTCAGAAAGGCAGACTTCCTGCCGCATATTCTACCCTTGAAAATCCAGCTTACACAACTGCTACAAAGTAAATCTCAAGTTTAATGGATTTTTTTCCCTAATCACTTAAATGAGATTACATTTGTCACAGGGCATGACGCACGCCTGTAATCCCAGCACTTGGGAGGCTGAGGCAGGAGGATCGTTGCAAGTTCAAGGCCGGCCTGGGCTACAAAGTGAGCTCAAGGCCAGTGTGAACTAAATAGGGAGACCCTGCCTCAAAAGGACAAAAAAAAAAAAAAAAAAAAAGAAAGATTACCTTTGTGAATCTTCATATCATTAAAAGTGATTTTCTAACACAAGGTCCACTTATCATTACTTAAATACAACTTTAAAAGAAGGAATGGCAGTCCAAAATGGGAAGTTACGCTGGTGAACTTGCCTATCACTGCGAGCGGAACTGTGCGGTCCCTCCGCAGCATCACTGCAGTCTGCTTCCTCATGCAGCGGGCCCTTCGCACCTCCCTGAGTGCACACTGGCCTCCGTTTTTCCCTCTCCTGGCTTTGGAGTTCCCGCTGGGAGCTATTCCCGCTGGGAGCTAAGCGCCAGCTCCGCCATTTCCTTTCTCCCCTCCCAGGTGCTATTCTTCAGCCCCTTCCCTAGCAGTTCCGATTCAAGCATTCCAAGCATTCTTAAATTCCTTCTCACAATCCCTGGTGCTCCCCACAAACACTGCAGGCACCCGACAAGGGTCACGGCCAAGCCAGGGAAGGGCTTGCAGGGGCGGAGGAGGTTGGCATCTGCATCAGGGCTCACGGCAAGGCGAATCTGTCACAAGTGCATTCTCAGGAGACTTCTCTGAGGCAAAGCCAGAGGAAGGTTCGAGTTCTATACTCTAACAGGTATCCTTGTCCCGCTCTCAAACACTGCGGACTTACTGCAGACTCACCCCTTCTGCCCGGCCAGAACTCTCCTCTCGACCCACCGGGGCATCTGCTCCATCCTGAGCTGTGTGGTGTGGTCAGAGCTCCAGTGCGATCTGCCAGTGTCAGAACAGAAGGTCCATTTTCTTCCTTTGTTCACATACATGTATTTTTTTTTTTCTGTTTGCACTCTTTGATTTTCGGTATGCATTAGAGATAAACCTGGCTGTGATCGAGACAGCCGTGTTTAAAATGAGCTTCTAGAGAAATGGACTGTGGAAAGAGACACCGTGGGTTCCAGTCTTGACCCGTCAGCTCCTGACCTTATCCTGCGCAGGCGGCTTCAGCTCCGGCCTCCTGTGACCTCACGTGAAGACAGGAACGCTGCCACCCTGTCAGCCAGGGGCACCTGCCTTCGAGGCGCAAATGCAGACCACGTGCCAGGGCAGGCAGCATTTCCAGCTAATGCATGGGTACTTAATAAATCACAAATTATCCCATGGACCGCATGTGTTTAATAAACTCTAGATACTAAAATGGAAAGCCTGTAAACCAGTAGTTTCACTTCTGGCTTTAGGAACAAATACATGTAACATAAAGGTCAACTCAGTACAGAGGAATAAAGAAATATATCCCACCATCGAAAATACCAGCGAAAAGGTATTTGCCATACGGCAAAAATTTAAATATACTAAGCTTTCAATAATGAAGGTATTCAGTCCTGAAGGGTAAACTTCTCTCAGACATTCTGGAGCACAGCCACTGAATCTGAGTTTACAGGCAGAATTATTTTATGTTTATTTTTCTCACGAGTGGCTCCCCGATGTCAGCAGAATCTTTAAAAACCAGTGTCAGGGGCTGGGGATTTAGCTCAGCGGCACAGCGCCTGCCTGGCAAGCGCAAAGTCCTCAGTTCGATTCTTGGTAGGGGCGGGGACAAACAAACAAAAAAACCCCTGCAGTGTCCAACAGAGGCTTTGAACAACTATTTGGTGGTTCAGCTAAGAGGCCCTCACCATTATCACTGTCACCTGCAGTGCCGGGGCAGGGACCCAGCACCTCTCGCATGCTAGGACCACGGCCACAGCCAAGACAGCGTCATCGGCAGCAAAGAACCACTAACCTGAGGTCGCGTCACTCAGAACGGTGTGCACCCGCCTGCTGAGACACTCCGGCTTTCGGAGAGCCACCAGCCCTGCTCTGGCGCGCCTCAAGGCACCTGTGCCAAGCCATAAGCGGTGCTCCCGGGGTGAGGCGCGGAGAACAGAGGCTTCCTGGTCAGGGCCCTGGGGTGGCCCTGGTGACCTTGGGTCGGCAGTGATTGACAGGACATCAAGGAGTGGGCTGGGGCGGGGCCCTGGGTGTGGCCATCCTTGGAGTCTGGCTCTAGGGGCCGTGTCAAATATAAACATGCTTTGTTAGCTCCCACTT